CTCTCTGTTACACACACACACACACACACACACACACACACACACACACACAATCTCTCTCTCTCTCTCCCACCTCTATAAATTCATCTGCCACAGCACTGCTATCATGGGTCTAATTATGTATTCTATCATCTCTTCCTGAAATATCCTTTCTTCAGCTTCCTTCTGCTTTGAAAGTCCTATTCGTGACCAGATCAAATTTAACCTCCTCTTGGAAGCATACCAGGAACCCTTCATTCAGATACAATCTCTCTTTTTCTTCTCTCTCTCTCAGCAACATTTAATATTGCTCTATTCAAAGTACCTAGCTTAGACTGTCTTTCTTGAACCACCTTAGATTGTGAAATCTTTAAAGACAAAGGCTGAATCTTATTACTCTCTGTATCTCCTCCATCACCTCTGATATTAACTGGCACAGAAGAAGCATTCTAATGTTTGTTGAACAGAATTGAACTCTTTGGTTGCCAAAGGCATCCTGGTGGATATAAATTTCAAGAGCTGTTGTAGCTATAACAGGTTGACAGCAGGTGCTAGATGTCAAAAGAAGAAAATTTACATGGTTGACTCCACTTCTTCTAAAATAAGCAAACATCTAATAGACAATACCTGAGAGGAAGATATTGGCTGGCATTTCATTAGCAATAGATTGCATAAAAATGTGGAAAACAACATGGTCTTTCTATTTTGCTATGAAGGATTTCATGTATTTGGTTGCAGCAAAGCTGCTATAAAACTGTCAGTTAATTAAAAAATCCTGTGAGAATATTTTTATACTCATACAGAAGAGCATTTCCCCTTCTGAAGCCTTATATACCAACTCTTTAAGCAATACAATGTTATTTCCTTTTCTTAAAATTAATAAAATAACACAAAAATTCTCAAAGAATTCTGGACTCATTTGAAAATGCCTTAGCTGAAAAAATAACTCCAAAAGAAACAACTCTTGAGTTAGAGTTGGCATTCCATTTTAGAAGACCTTCCCCTAGTTTAGTTGATAAAAAGGCTGCATAGTACACCTTTTATAATCTACTCTCTCAAGTTCCTGTGTATAAAATTAATCCCACCATGACATATGTACATTTAATGAGCATCTAGAATGTGATACATGTTTACATTTGTAAATCACATAATTTATCCTTTATAATCATCCTAGCAGATTAAGTACAATTATTAGCCTAATGTGACAGTTGAGGGAACCATGGTATATAGAAGTGAATACACTAAGGCCAAGGTCACAAAGCTAATAGGTCACTGGAGTCCACTAGTATATATATCTACTACACATGTAAGAGATAATCTTATAAATGAAATATGTAGAAAATAGAAATATAAATAGGAGCTACAAAATTTGTATTTAGCTTATAATAACTTGAGTTTAGTCTTAATGTTTAAGTTATCAAATCAATATACCTTCCCATTTTTTGATGAATCATTTTTTTTTCCATTTGAAATGCCTCAGGACTTAAAATCATATTGATATGAGCTTGAATTCTAGGCCCTCACTTGTCATTTTGCTAAGACCCTAAACAAATTATTTAAGCTCTTTGGGCCTTAGTTCTCAGACTCCAACATGGGAATAGTAATATCTACCTCCTAAATTTATAGAGAATATTGAAAATACAATAATTTCCATGAATTTCCTTACCCAAATAAAGGCTTTTCCAAATATTTGTTTAATTCTATTTGTATATCTTATTTCATCTTTTCCTAAGCAATCTTCTCCTTGTGGTCTTTTGAATCTTTTTTTGTGGTAAAATAATCAACCAGTTACTAAAAATAACCTCATTAAATACATTCCCACTAAGCATTCAAATCACTCATAGATTATAATTCAAATAACAAGAGCCAACATTCATTGAACTTTAATTATGGCTCTCATCTAAATGCTTTACATATGTTATCTCATCTAGTTCTCTCAATCCTTGAGTTAGACACAAGTGATAACTATTTTATAGAAAAAGAAACCAACAACAGTTTACTGAGATTAGTTATTTGTTCAAGGTTACAAAGCCAAATATCTAGATTGGGCAATCTGCCCTCAAAACCTGTGTGTATTGTTACTATATACCATTAAAGTAGTAGTGGTGAGGGTTTGGGAGGTATAAGCTATAAAAGTAAAGCTCTCAAATGCAAATGTCAGAGGACCCACCCACATTTGCTAATATTTGTGAAACAGAGTAGTTATTTTTTCCATATCTTCTTCACTGCTCTGCAAGGTATAATGGTATTATATTCTGCAGTGTTAATAGACATAAATAAAAGTTTTTCATTATTCAGACACCTCCAAAAAAAGCAAATTTAAGTCCTTCTTCCTTTATCTTCTTTTAGTCTCCTGACCCAGAACTTCTACTGAAGAAAATAACCAGGAATGGTTGACAATTCAAGAATTGAAGAAAAATGAGCGATTTGAACATCAGAAAACAGGATGGAGAATTTTTTAATGTAAACTCATTTAGAATGAAATTTATTATCTTACTTAAATTATAATATGATTTAAATGAATATGATTACCTAAAATAATAGATATCATGAAAATAGTATTGCATAGTAAAACAGGTTGGGATTTTGTAGACCTGATTATTTGAGGTTTAGCATGGATATTGCTAGAAGACAGGAACTGCTTTTCTATTGAACTTTTCTTTTGATAAAATGTAATAACTATGTATAGATTTCCCAAACTGCTCAAAGTTATGAACTGGGATTTACCAAGGAGGGAAAAATACATCAATACAGTATTATACACATATTAAATATTTTTTCTTTATTTAGTTGATTCCTTTTCAGATATTTCTAGAAGTTGCAGGGCAATAAAAAAGTAAGATCAAAATTGTCAAATGGGAAAATGCAATTTTATGAGCAAGTATTTTATTTCTGCCCTTTCCCTGAAAATCAAATCTGTACTAAGAAAAATTCTATTTGGAACACCATTGAAACTTTATGAGTATTGAATTTCCATCCCATTTCATAGATTTCAAATTGAGAGATAAACTGAAGCATAGCTGAGCTGGAAATAACATTGTTTAGATAAACATAACTTGTCAGAATTATCTTAGTACCAGCATTAACAACTCCAGGAATATTTGGAACTAAGATTCTGGTTTAGGCCTTTAATAAGCAATGTGCCATATTTAACAGACATTTGCTTTTTAAGAAAATGCTTTTTTGGACCATTTGCATTAGGATCTTTATATTATACTATAAATATTCATAAAGGTATCATTCCTAAAAAAGGAGAATTATCCAATTCACTAGATATTAATAGAGTAATACAATGTTGCCCTCTGGTAACTCAACTCTAATCTCCATCATGAAAAAGTCAATGTAATATTTTTTAAAAAACCAAGATTCCAAGGGATAATGGAAAATGTTTAGCCAATGTTGGACAGATACTGTAAAATGTATTAGTGTTATTTTCCTCTTAGGAAAAAGAAGTTGTTTTTCATCAGTAAGCTAAGAAACAACTTTCTATATAGTATGTTAATATTTACATAAACATCTTTATCAAATTTTCATATTTTTCAGGTGAGAACCAGATCACTTAACTATGCAATGGCAATTCAGTCTTTTACTGAGTAAATTCACTTTTTTGGGCCAGTGTGTTGCAATCTCATGGAGAACCCTCATGGTTTGAGTTTGGGGGAGGAACACTGACACATCAATTAAACAGCAATTTATGTTTGTCATTACAAGATAATTTTGTTCTTGCCATGATGAATATAAAAACAACAAACTATGACTGATATAGATTCATAAGACATACGTGTATATTTCCTAGTACAAATTAATTGCAGAAGATATCGACTAGTTTCTTACCAAATCTTTTTCTTATTCTTGACCTTAACATTGGATATTATTTCCCCACTTCCTTTGAAGTTAGGTGCAGCCCTTTGACAAGTTTAAGCCAATATAATATAAACAAAATTAATGTACACACTGTTAGGCCTAGCTTGTGACAAATTCTCATGAGTAATACTTATTTCTCACCTACTCATCAAATGCTTCTGATGTTCGGATACAAAAGACAGGAGGAGTTTGGATCCCTGAATGACTTTACAGAGGGCTACTTACTTTGAATTGGACCAGAATGAAAAGGAAATTTTCAGTGTAGTAAGTCACCAAGATTCAGGAGTTTATGTGCTATGGTGGCCAATGTTACTCAACTGATATATTAGTATATATCCAAATTCATTGTTTCAGCAATAATGTAGAAATAAAATTTCAAAACTGTGTACAAGTATGAATAGTAATATTTTTCAGATACTAACCTTTTATTCTAATTGCTATTTTCCCTTCCCCAACATATTTAGGCAAAGAAAGATAATTCTTATCAGTGTGTACCCATGGAGGAAAGGTAGGTGAAGAAAAGGCAGAAAACACAGAAAGATTCTACAGAACAGATATCAGAGGTGACTAGGTCCTCATCCCTGTAAAGAGCCTCTATGGGCACTTGGATGGAGAGTAATTGCCTGTATTCCTCCCTCTTTCTCCTCAGTCCCATGAACAACTACTGACATCACACACAATGTCTAGGCAGATGGGCCTTATAGTCTCCCAAACTTCCTGCCCACCCTAGTATGATGCAAAGATTTTTGATATTACACAATGGGGCATCAAAGGAGCAGAAAAACTAGGAAGCAACTTGTTGGTTGGACTAACCACCAAGAATATGAAGGAGAGAGTACTATCTCTATGGATGCCAGCCCAGAAATATGACAAGTAAGGAGCAAATGTTCTGCCATACTATGCTCACCATGTCCAGCACACTGTGCCTTGTAACTATATAAGCCCTGAATTGATGAAAATTATATTTCTTCTGTATAGTGAAATTATATTCAGTTATTGAAAGCTAACATTAAGGACTGAAAATCTTTTTCAGTGTCATAGTTACAATTTATAAATATTTCACACTATTTTTGATAAATGTAATGGGAGTATTTTAACTAAATTGTTATCCAAACTTTTTACCCATCTTGCCTTGAGTTTCCCATGCTTAGACTTACTTCGATCAGTAATAATTGTTCTAGCTTCTTGATTGCTGGTTTTGTTTTTCAAATTCTGAGCAGCAGTTATGAGTTCTTCCAACTGTGGGCGCCTCTGTTCCAAATCCTGCAGTGTTGCCTGAAAGAACAAATATCATTTAATATTGGGGCTCTTCAGCATTATGCTTTCCTTTTATGTAATACAAAGAAAAGTACAATTTTCAAACCAGCCAAAACACTTTTAGAAATCAAAAAGATGTTATTGGATATAAATCTTTACTGTTTAAGGCTTCATAGAAAATAATTGAACAAGAAATATATTTCACTCTTAGACCCCAAATAATATTTCAAGTGAAAATCTTTGATTATAGATTTGCTTTACTATTGAAGAGCTTAGCTGGAGACATTTCAGAGTACATGAGTTTACTTAAGCCAATGTAAGAAATATAATTCTGAAATATAACAATGTGTTTAAAAGATAGTTATTTATACCTGTAACGTCATTCTGTGTGCTATCACAGATAAAGTGTATATTTATTTTAGAAACAGAAAGGCACAAAAACGATTTAAGAGATATTACTTATTCAACTTCTTTGTACTTGATGTTCCTCACGTGTAAAATGAAGAGATGAAGTAGATTAGTTAAATCAGTCTTTCCTCAAAGTTGCCTGTCTATAAAAAAAATCACCCAAATGCCTTTGCTCCATCCCAGGACTAATGAATTGGTAGGGGAAATCACTGAAAATCTGATTTTTGTTGTTATTGTTGTTGTTATAGGGGATTGAACTCAGAGGCACTTGACAACTGAGCCATATCTCCAACCCTATTTTGTATTTTATTTAGAGATAGGGTCTCACTGAATTGTTTAGTGCCTCACCTTTGCTGAGGCTGGCTTTGAACTCGCAATCCTCCTGCCTCAGCCTCCTGAGCCCCCGAGATTACAGGTGTGCACCAGCATGCCCAGATAAATCGGCATTTTAAATAAATTCTGTATTTTTATGATCAGTCAAGTTTGGAGAGCATCAGACTCTAGATATTAGTATACTTTTCTCTAGCATAAATTACTTTGATTTAATACTGCTTTAAATAAAAATAATAGAATGAAGTCAACAACTTTTGAATTTACAGATAGCAATGCTAATTATTAAGAAATTCATCTTCTTTTTCAAACGTTCATCTACTCTGTCAGACTAAGAGTATCTCTGTACTAAAGGGTCAAAATTTCTCCCAATATATTAAAAATTATATATCTCTTTCTTCTGATTTAAAAACTAAGTTTTATTTCAATTATGGAAAGTAAAATTAATATTTACTTGTAGTTTATACTCATTCTGTGATAGATGTTTTACCCATACTTTCTAATTTTTAGTCTCATAATAACTATACTAATAACCATGCCAGAAATTCTGTCAGATTTTAAATATGATGTTCTTTCTACTACCATGTTAGAGTGATGGGAGTGAAGAGACAAAATGTGGTGAATAGTAATAATTGTGAAATAGTCATCTATTATGCCCTTTGACTTTTGCTGATTTTTCTAAGGATTTTGTTTTTGAAAAGGCCAAATTTGATCATTCTATAGTGTTTCCTTTGTGAAGAGGTAGGGGGATAGGCTTTGTGATTTAAGATCAATTGCTTTTGGTATTATTAAAATAATGAGGAAATCCTATCCAAATATCATACATCTATTTTGAGCATTTCTCTCTCTGTGTATTGAAAAATTGGAGGGGCTAACTTTTAACAAATTTTCTGCATTTGTAATCTGTGATTGCTCAAAAGAAAAATTCAATTTTCAGGTTCCTAAGTTTTATGGTTTCTTTACATAAAAGTGTGTTTGAAATATGGAACAAATTGCCAAAGATAGCTATTGAAGTAAGTAGCATAAGTAAGTTAGAGAGTATTGAACAAATTTTAAAGTAGGGAGCTTATAGTAGCATATAGATCTTAGGAAAGAAGATGTTTTGGGGTCTGGAATGTTAACTTCTGGTCATCTGTGACACAGTAAGCTGAAAAAATGCTTTGTAAGTGTCTATCATAAATGTTTAAATACATTTAATAGAGCTTTTTTAAAATACAGACTTAACCAGAAACCTCAGATAGTCAAATCTCTACCTTAAATGTAATAAATGACTTAAATATACATAGCAACTGGAATATATAAAATCATTCATTTACTCATTCTGTTATGCTGATATATATTTTTAAGGAGTTAGGTGCTATTAAAGGGGCTATGTATGCTGCACTGAACAAATGTATTGGGTATGGTATACAGTTTAAATGAAAAGCTGTGTTTAATACTTGATAACTTTTATATAAATATTATATTTATTGTTATTTTTATTTGATTTAGTATTAGTTCCTCCCTAAAAAAAACCAGACTATTACTTTCTTTCCACTTTTAGAAACTTTCCTCAAGGTCTGCTACACATTTTTCTTCTTTTAGGATTTCAAAGTTCATTTGAGAAGTATGTTGTAAAAGTAACTCAATCAACTTTAATCTGAACCTTCCCAGACTCTAAATTAAACCTGACCACAATGAACAGCTTTTACTGCTGAAATTAGCAAGCATGTCAATTTAGACTTAAAACAAGCCATTTTCCTCTCTAATGAACAAAATAGGTCTCAGGGTATTGTGAAACCTGTTCTCTAGTTGGGTGATTCTCTAATTCTGCTGACAGACACATGCTTTATAAGCACCTGAGAAGATTATTAATGACATCCTTTGAAGCAGCCTCCTTAAAAGGAGATTTGCAACTGAAATACAACTATGAATTTATAAAGTATTTCTAAACAAAATTGCCAATCTTCACCCCACTCATTGATCAACATACATGAACATTCATTTCAAAAACAAACTGTAAAATATTAATCTATTTGCTATGAAATTTATCATATACTTTTTTACTCTTTATTTAGTGTTTTCTCTGTATAGTACAATGGAAATTTTCTCCTTTGATTTCCTTTCCAGAAATAAAGGGAAAGATTTGAAGATGGCATACACCTAAGATATTATAAAACAGTATTATAAAACAGTAACTGAAAGACCTTGCAAATGAACAGAACACAAGCATATGGTTAAAGCTTTCTTTTCATTTGGTTTTCTTTTAACTGTATTCTACTTATTTTCCATTAAAATTTATTTGAGTTGACATCTTAGTTTTGTAATTCCACAACTTCTAAAACATAATGACCTTCATCTTTATTCTATGGAGCTATGCAAAGGTGAGAGAAACTTTGGATCTAATCATTATTCAAACTTACTTATCCCCAAAATATTCATCTTCAAAATTTTGGTCTAGGGTGATAGGTCAGTGGTAGAGCACTTGCTTCACATGTGCAATGCCCAAGTTTGATCACTAGCACCAATCCCCCACACAAATCTGTTCTATGTCCACAGTTAGCTATCTCTACCAGATGTCACTCTCTCAAAGTGACATTGCTTCTACTAAGTACATTGCTTCTATTCCAATATTCATCCTTACATGAGCTCTGGTCCTCTATTGTTCAATTTCCTCATTCCAGTTTTAGTCATATTCAACAAATAGAAGACTAAAGGTGCTTATTTATTTATTTGATATGAGCCCAGATATTTAGTACACAAATAACTTATATGAACAAAACTAAAGACATTACATGCTTAGCAGTACTTAAGCATGATTATTGCATCTACATAGATTCTATCATTCTTGAAGGAAACAAAATACAGGAAAAGGAAGGAATCAATGCTATTTCTAAGGAATCATAAGCCAGCTACTGGGCTTTACTAAAAAAAGCTTACCCCTTGGAGATGAGAATTCATCATGGATTCCACTAGCTGGGCAAAGATGGAGAGAAAAAAAATCTTCAAATACAAAGAGAATCAGAAGTCTTTAATCCTACTAAATCCCCCCAGGGTTGAGAGAAGTGGTTATAAATAACAATCTTATGAAAGACGGAGTTAAACAGTGAAACCATACATACTATAAGTAGGTCATTTTAGGCTCTTAGAAAAAATTATGATTCATTATTGCATTTGTTAAAATGAAATTTTTCATAAATAGTACTAAAATAGAAAACTCTATATGCTGACTTGAATATTTATTTATATGTCTAAGACTTGAACCGAACATGTTATATTTTTCCATTTTTTCACAAAAAATCGACAAATCTTCATGCAGTTACAGTTCAAAGCTCAAGTCTATGGTCAACTGTTGCTATTTTTCAGGAAATAAACATGAATTAAGCTTCAAGGTAATAACGTTAAATCTCTTATTTACAACTTAAAAAAACTGACATTCAAGATTTACAGGGTAAAATAGTTTATAGAGCCCTTTTATATATGGAAAGAGAATAAGCAGTGAAGTCGGGTGGGTACTAAATTGTAGCCTTTCTAGTAACTGAAAGGGCTTTACCTTTGAGGATGCTAATCATCTGTCTAACTTTTAACTGCCTCACTGAGCACCTTCATTMTGGCTTCTAGTCTTGCATTAGCTGCTACTCCAAATAGATTGGCCAAATCCAAAGTTGTCTTTATTGCCCTCTGCTTCCTCACTTCTCATTTACATTTTAAGTGGACTTGGCTATTTTCCTATTTGGCATAACTTCCCTATTTTTCTCCTAGTGTTCTACAAGCACTTCCATTGGTTAGAAGATATTTCCCTTCTAACAATGATTATCCTTTTGAATTTTATTCATTAAAGAAATACTTTCTTAAAGAAAATTTTAGTTTTATAGAATTTTAAACTCACAGAAGACTTGCAACCATGGTAAAAGAACTCCCAAGTACCCTTCAGCCAGATTCATCAATTGCTAAACTTTACCACATTTTACTTATCACTCATAGTTCTCTTAGTGTCTCTGTGTATAGTACCTGTATATTTATTATGTATATATATATTTTTTCTGAAGCATTTGAGAATGATTTGCAGATTTCATTACCCTTTATCCTTAAGTACTTCCATAGTTATTTCACAAGAACAAAGGCATTCTCTTACATAACCTCAGCTCAAGTTCAAAATCAGGAAATTTAACATTACTTTTGTACTATAATCTTATCCACACACTTTTCTCCGAGTATGACAATTACCTCATTAATGGCCTTTATAGCTCCATTTTCATTTCCTGGTCTAAGCTCATGCACTACACTTAGTTGTCACATCT